GCTGTCCTTTCCATCAGAGCCTGGAGCACGAGTGTGGGCCTTATCCGGGATCCAGGCTATGTGGCAGCTCTGCCTGGGCTCCCTCTACCTGTCCTACGGCACAGGCCTCTTCCCTGCATTTTTCTGGTGTTTGGTTCTGCTCATTTTCATCAAAAAGTCAGGTGTGAACTGAAAATGCTGCTGTCATCCCCTCTTCTCAGCTGCAAGGAAGTGCAGGAGTCTGCAGGGCTCACTGGGCTCTCAGGGCCCAGGTTTTGGGAGTCCAGAAGCAGCCTGTGGAGGGGAACAGCTGGGAGCTGTACACCAGCAGGTGGTGGCTGCTCCCAGGGCTGTGTCAGCCAGATGCAGATTCCTCCTGCAGGGGACGAGGGCCTGGACAGTGCAGGGAAGGCTGGATGAGAGGTTGGGAGTGGGGGTGTCTCTCTTCTCTGTATAATAGCCTGCTTCTGACAAGGAGCTTCTGTTCTTTTCCACTGGAAAGCTTTTAAGAACGCTGAAAAGGACAGGCAATTACAGGAAGGTTAGGTGCGCCTGATTGGATGTTGTTACAAATCACTCATTGTCATACAAGGCATTTGGAAAGGAGGCCATCCATCGGGGACTGATTGCCGTTTAGGGTAAGCGGTTTCTGTTTAGAGTGAGTGAGCAGATGAAGGTTGGGCTGGTTCTCATTGCCCTTTCTCTGTTTGCTGTTCTGGTGATGGTTTTTGTTGGCAAGGAGGGGTCATGACAGATGCTGACATGATGCATGAGTGGGACAGGGTTAGAGGTCAACCTTCTTTTCTCACCCCCACCTCACCTGCCCCATAGGGTACTGAGCAAAGAGAAGATAGAAGAACCCGGCCCCGCCTCTCACAGCAGGGGAGGCTAGAAGAGAGGCCGTGTCCAGACCCCAGGCCAGTGTCCTTGGCTCTGGCCAGGCACCATGCTGATGCTTGATTGAGACCGGGTGTTCCTACTAACCCAGGCCGTGTGCAGCTGTGCGCTGAGTACAGTCCTCGGGGCAGCCCGGGCAGCTGCAGGTGCCACACCACCCTCTGTTCCTCTGGATCCTCTCACATCCTGTCACTTGGGATAGCCCTTGACCACATGATGTCCCCAGGAGGCAGGAGGCAGGGAAAATAGCTTGACTGACCTGATGTCTCCAATTTCACCTCTCTCCGTCTTTGTCTCTTTGTGTGTCTCTGTCTGTCTGTCTCTCTTTCTCTCTTTCTCTTTCTGTTTCTCTCTCTCCTCCTCCACTATCATGTCTGAAACACCATCATGGAGAAACATCCCCAGATCTTGAAATCTGTTCCATCTTTGAGTTGGCACTGACCTGCAAGCATTTTTGAAAGGATCACCCTCTAAACAGCCAGGAGGCACTAAAGAAGAATAAGGAGAAGTCATAAAACGGAGAGGAAGATGGCAGACAAGAAGACATCATAGTTATTCTTTGATAAATCTAAAATTTGTCCAACCTTTCTCCAATTTCCATGGTATAACCAAAGGTGGAAGCCAGGCAGAAAACAGTCAAAAGCCATCCTTACCTTTGGTTTGTCAGTTTGGAGGATACACCGTTACGGGTTTAATTATGCTCTTTCCTCCAACAATGTTGAAGTCTAGATCCCTGGTGTCTCAGAATGTTACCTCACTTGCAAAGGGGTCTTCATAGAGATAATTAATTAAAAAAGAGGTCATTAGCTGACACCCTGGTCCAGTGTGCTTGGTATCTTCCTAGAAAGAGAAAGTTGGAACGCAGAGACAGACATGCTGGGGGCAAGACTAGGGAAGACAGAGTAAGCATCCCACTTGAGGGCAATGCTTGGGATAAGCGAAGGGACACCAGAGGCCCCCAGCGACCCACCAGAGGTTAGGAGAGGGCGTGAAACCCTGGGAAGGAATTAGCCCTGTGGATGCCCTGATGCTAGATTTCCAGCCTCCAGATCTGCAAGAAAGCCAATTTCAGTTTGTACTACTTTGCTATGGCAGCCCTAGGAAACTGAAACTGATATCATAAGGACTTCTCAGTTGTCTTTCTGTTTTTATTATTACTCAACTGGACTCTACAATGTTTTATTGGGATGAAAACTCCCTTGTGTGGGAGGTGTTAATACGGTCTGGATTAAGGACAAAGTGTAACAGAAACTCTGGGATAATCTCAGCATCTCTATCCTTTTCCCCAGCAGGGAAACTCACTCAATTAATCACTTAACTGTTATTTGATGAGGACCTCCTAAGCACCCAGTACTATTCTCTGTGCTTCAGACACTAAGATGCACAGAACATCTTCCTCCCTTCATAGACTGTGGGGAAAGCAGTCATGCACACAAGTAGTTATGAGGTGAAGCGGCAGACATAGGTGGTGCCAAGTGCAGTGCATCATGGGAACACAGAGCAGAGGAGACGCAGGAAGAAGTCAGCAGAGCCAGAGGAGATACCTGGAAAAGAGACCACAGGGTTTGAGCGTCAAAAAGTTGTCTAGGCCACCCAGGGCAAAGGCCGTTCCAGGCACCAGAAACACTGAGCAGGGGAATAGGGATGAGGAAATGTGTGTGGGAGAGACAGGACTTCTACATCTTAAAGACTGGTGGAAGACACAGATAATAAATAGGTCAATAACAATACACAAAAATGTAACTAAGAGCTATAACAATAGAGTGTTTAGGTGGAGGGTAGTGATGGGAAGCTTTCTCCTGCAGTTAGGGTTGTTGGAGAAGATTTCTCTAGGAAGGATGAGACATTGGTTGGGTGGGGAGGTGGCTAGCAGGGAATGGTCCAAGAAGTAGAAATAGTGTGTGCTCTTGAGGTGTGAAAGATCAGAAAATATGATGCATATGTGAATATCTTACCAGCAACGACATTGTGGGATTGTAGGGGATTCATGTAAAGTTTCCCAGTGCCATGTTTGTGGCAGCCATTAAGTTTTCCCCATTATTTCTCTCTGGCTCTTGTGAAAAGTATCCCCTTTCCAGTTGTGCACATGACCTTTGCACAGAGAGCATTTTCAGGTAGATGAGAAGGGGTGTGTGTGTGTGTGTGTGTGTGTGTGTGTGTGTGTGAGGATGGTGCGTATAGGAGTGTATGTACAGTGCTCTATGTGCACGGGGCAGCAAGGACTACTACGGGCCTGTCACCAGCTCACCCCGATGGCGTGGCCTGCATCACTTATCTCAAAAATGAAATTAAGTGCATTTCACAAATAAGAAAGGCTTCCAACTCTGAGCCCTGGACCAAGTGATCTGGTTTGCTTTCCCTGCTCTGCTTTTACCGAAGATAAAAAGGTTTTTAAAGTGTGACATCCACGTCCAATGCTAATGGCACAGTGGACACTGTCCAAGAGAACTGATAAACTCCTCAGATGCAGGGCAAATGATTAAGAGAGACCAGCTCCAGATGTACTGTTTACTGATCACATCCAAGAAACATTAACATTCTGGAATGTTTAGAAGTAAAACTCCAGGAAATTAAAGTCTGGGAGGAATTAGACTGGTGGATCTGATCCAACAGAGGAGAGCAGGAGCCAGCCACTTCAGCTTTCTCCAAGGACCTGAGTGGGCCCGGAGCTCCAGTGTGTCAGCTCTGGAAAACACAACAAAGACTATTGGGAGCCCTGGTCTCAGGAAAAAAAGATCAAGGATTCTTAACTTTTTAGGACCTTCCCTTCAACCCTGTCATGCTTTGATGAGAAAATCGAGTCCTAGAGGGGTGAAATGGTGTGAAATATCACAAAACTGCATGGTCACAGAAGTAGACAGCAAAGCAAAAACCAACTTGTTCTTTTTTGCCCTTTATACGCTGTTGCTTATGGGTATTTGGAAGAGTAGGCAGGTTGTGTTTCTCCATTTTATGATGTGGCCAATGGTAACCTGTGCCATAAAACTTGAGAATCAGAGTGCTAGATGCGAGTGAAACCTCATGCCTGTGCTTCTGCTAGGTTATTCACGGACTCCTAAGCATGGGCAGATGTTGGCTCCTATGCTGTGGGAAAGGCCTGGAGCTTGGTATGGTGTGTGGAGAGCAGCTTTCAGAGCTGGGAGGGCCTCTCTGTCTTTGCTTGACAGGCACAAATGGCTAAATTAGAGTAACCATCTTAATGGGGAATAAATTGGAGGGTTAGTAAGTAAGTCCATTGAAGCAATTTGGCCTATATTCTTGGCTGAAGGAGCAGGGCCCCTCACTTCCTATTAAGGTCATTGCTAACCACTGCTTTTGAGAGAAGGCTGGGTGGTAAGGCAAAGGGGTGGTTTGGCATGGGAGAGTGGTGGGTTAGGAAGGGTTCAATGGCGTGCTTCATGGAGAGGTACAGGCAGACACCAGTGCTCCAGAGAGCCTGTACCCCTTACATCAAAGTGGGGAGGTGAGGGTCTGCCTTGTCTCCAGTGTTGTTGGGAGGAATTCTGGTTCATGTTTGCCTGCATTCTGCACTAAGTGTATCAGATGTGAATCTTCAGCCATGTAGCCCAGAGCTGTCATAGGGACACAGACTCTGAGATGCTGATGATTTATTAGGGACTGTCTCAGCCACTTGCCTCATCACTGACGCACAATATCTGGTACCCACAATTTAAAGGACACGTTTATTTGGTCGCATGCTTTTTAGAAGATTCACTCCACAGTCAGCTGGTAGAAACGGCATGGTGGAAGGGCCTGGGTATAGAAAGCGGCTCACATCATGACAGTCAGGAAGCAGAGTGAGAAGGGATGGGGGTGACACAGCATTCCAGGTTATACCCCCAGAGATGGCTTTCTTCTAACCAGACACTGCCTCTGAACAGGAAGTCAGCTGTAGTGCCCATGGTCTAATCACCTCTGAAAGCCCCACCTCTGAGCACATGAGCCATTTGGAGGATGTTTAAATTCTAAATGACAACAGAGAGTGTTTGAGGTAGAGACCACCATGGAAAGAAAGGGAAGGTGTAGTTCTGGGCTCCAACTCAGGACCTGGTGCTCATTAAATGTACAGTGCATATTCTTCCCTAACCTTCCTGAATACTCTTACTGACCTCAAAATCCAGGTCCATTATTAAAGCCAGGATGTCCTCTTCATCGTGACTCCAAGAATAAAGCAGATGGAAAAATAAAAATTGCTGGGGGTCACTGCAGAAGGACAGGGGACAAACCAGCTTCTGACCCCTTAACCTGTTATGCATGAAAGGTATGGTTGGTGTTTTCTTCTGAGACAGTGGGAGCCTTGAGAGTTGCTTTTACAAAAAGCAGAGACTCTACTGCTTTGGACTGATAGATGCCCAACGGGCAATGCAAAGCAAGATGACACTTGACATTTCTGCCTTCATTTTGTATCTGTCTCTTTTATTACCTCATAACTTTGGAATCCAATGCTGCTCATCTCTGCATGTAGGCAGGGAGTGCCTGTCTAAAAAATGGTAATGCAAGACTTTTAGCCCAAAATTTGCCTAATTTGTACTCCTTCAACATGGAGGACACTAGGAGATGAGAGTTGCAGGAACTTCCAAGTTCAAATTCTAGCCACTAGAATGAATTCCTAGAAGCTTCCAGTCATTGCCCTAAACCTGCAGTCATGTTGGATTCCAGCATGAAATCCACAAACCTGAGGTCTCCCTCCCCACTCCACAGCCAGAAGCATCTCCCAAAGGGATCGCTCTCTTGAGCAATAAGGACTTCTCTAGAACCACCTTGCTCAACCATGACTGAGATAACGATCAACTGGGCCCTCACCCACCCCAGGAATCCCAGAAAAATGGACTGCTTCCCTTTGGTAAGGGAGCAGCCTGATCTTGTCCATCAGAGCTGTTCCCCTTCAGCATTTCTCAAGCTAAATTTCCTCTTCCATTTTCTCTTACTTTGCAGTGAAAGCTTTTGCCTGTAACTTCATGCCATTGCCTTGGTTTTAACTATGCTGGTAACGTGTTCTTTGGGTCCACACCCATGCAAGGGCAGGAGAGAATTGGGCCAAGGGAAGGTTCAGGGTGATGCAGTCTAAAGATAACCTTGACTGGCCCATGGGAGATGACCTTCGGAGCTGTACTTAACTGGGCCAAGATAGCTATGCCTGCATCAGTCCCTGTTTAGGGGATTACGGGCAAGGTGTATCCTTGGGTGAGGCAGTTTTGTAGCTGGGCATCCCTGAAAGAGCTGTGCTGTGTCTCCTTGTCAATGTAGCCCTTAAGCTGGGGCAAGAGTCCTTCCTTGAGAGGAGCTGCATCTGCCACCATGTTGACTTAAGCTCAGTTGGGGGTTTCTTCCCTTTCCTTGGATACATTCTGGGAGATTTCTATGGATCCAAGGCTTATGATTTATATCACAGCAAAAAAAAAATTAGTTCTATTTTCACTTCTGCTCTACTACTCACCCTCAAAACAGAAATTTTGTGACCAGATATTGGGGGTTTTCCACATTGGCTAATTCTTCAATACCAGTTGGGTGTCCTACACATCAATTCTAGTCTGACACTAAGGGTGGTAGCGTGAATCCCCCATGGGTAAAAACCCAAATGCCTCAGCCCTCTGACCTCATTTCAGATGCTGACCTAAGTCCCACGTGGCCCACACTTCTGAGTTGGCTATAACATGGCTTCCACAATCCCCTTCTCAGGTTCAATAATTTGAATAATTTCTAGAGCCACTCATAGAATCTGGGAAAACAGTTTACTTACCGTTATTGCTTTATTACAAAGGCTATTTTAAAAGATCGAATGAACATATGTAGACATATATACGATGATGCTTGCAAGAGTCTTGAGCACAGGCACTTCTGTCCCCTGAAACTGGGTTCTTCCCCCTCCTGGCATGTGGATGTGTCCTTCGTCACCCATTTGGATGTTCTCTGACCCTTTACCTTTGGATTTTTATGGAGGCTTCATTGCTCAGGCATGATTGATTAAGTTATGGCCATTGGTGATCAGCCTAACCTTCACCCCTCTCCTTTGGAGAGGTCAAGAGTAAGGCTAAAAGTTCCAATCCATGAATCCTATAGTTGGTTCCTCTGGTGACATCACCCCTATCCTGAGACTATCTGCGGAGAGCAGCAATCAGTCATCTCATTAGCGTACAAAGATACTTCTCTCCGCAGATTCCAAAGGGTTTAGGAGCTGGGCGCCAGGAAACAGGAAACTGCTTGGAAGACCAAGGTGTGTTTCTTAATATATCACAGTATTACAGGGACCTTCAGGGTTCTATCCTCACTGGGGTCCAATGAAACACATCTGGTATGCTGACCTAGTGCTGGACCACTGGAATTTTGGCATGCACAGAGGCCTCCAGCCCATGACACCTGCAAGCCTAGAGGCTCTGCTGCTATTTTTATGCCATATTTTGGGGAATGGGAATCAACCAGCGGTTTCTGTGTCAAGCTGGAGCACGGAAATGACTGTGAGGATGAATGTGGCTTAGACACACCAGACTGTCATTTCCTCATGGGTTGATCCTCTTCAGCTGAACCTGTCTGTTATGCACAGAATTGGTTCTCCTCAAATTCCATGTTAATGCCGCATGTGACTGTGTTTGGGGAGGTAAAGTTAGATGAGGTCATACAGCTAGGATACTGCGCCAATAGCACTGGTGTCCTCATATGAACAAGAAGAGGCACCTGAGAGCTCTTTCTTTTTCTGAATGAGCACAAAGGAAAGATATGTGAGGACACAGTAAGAAGGTGTCACCTCAAGGGTAAAACCCTTACCACAAAACTGTTCCTTGATCTTGAATTTCCAGCATCTTGGATTTTTTTCATCCTTTTCCCCTCTGTCAGAAAATGTGCTGCAATTTGGCTGTAAATATAAAACAGAATCAAGCAATAGGCTTAGAAAAATAAATTTACACTGATAAGGGATCTGCAGCTATAACATACAAAGATCTTTTACAATTAGTAAACAACAACTAAGAGTAAGAGGCAAAGGATGCGGATGAGCCCCTCACAGAAGAGCAAGTCTAAATGAACAGCACATATATTTTTAAAACCTCAACCTTATTAGAAGTCAGAAAATTACAAACTAAAATAATCTTCAATTGTCAGCTTTTACCCAATAGTCTGAAAAACAGGAGGAAGATAAGTGGTGTCTACTCTTGGGGGAGAGTAGGAGCAGGGAAATGTATGTCCCCTATGATTTACTGGGTAGGGGCCCAGGAGCAGAAGAATCAGTGGCCACCTGCTAGGTCAGAGGGATGCATGATGTAGCCTGTCCACTGAAGGATCGGAGGATCCAGTCAAAGGCTGAAGGCCTGGAAACTCACTGCAGGGTCCTGTGTGAGTCTGTGCTGAAGGGTTTGCAGTGCAAGCCTGAAGGAACTGCTAACAGCCATAGGCAGGGTTGAAGATTGGAGTTCCTCTCCAGAAAAAAGGCAGGCTTTCTTCTTTTTTCTCTTTTAGTCTGTCCAGCTACAAGCCTGTGGTTAGTGTCACCTACATTGGATGGGTCTTTCCTCGTTAGTTTGAGGCCTACGTGTCAGTCATCCACACAGACACGCACCGAGCTTTGCTAATCTGCTAGGTCGCTCTTACTGAGGTCAAGTAGGGATATCTCACTTAACAAGCACACCTTCTATCCAGCAGTCACACATCTGGGAACCCATCTCACAGAAGCCAAAGCACCACTCAGTCAGCCTGCCTGCGCAAAGTTGCTTCTAAAGAAGAGTCCATCAAGAGAAATAGTTGGGGGTGGTGCTGCACACCTGTAATCTCACCGTTCTGGGAAGCTGAGGAAGGAGGAATGCAAGTTGGAGTCCACCCTGGCAATTTAGTGAGACCTTATTTGAAAATAAAAGCTAAAAAGGGCTGGGGGTGTAGCCTGGTGTAAAGGTCCTGGATTCAATCCCTAGTACTGGAGGAAAAAAAAAGGAGGTGGGTAGAGAAGAGGGCGGGAGAGAGGGAGGGAGTCAATAAATTAAAGTCTACTCATGCAACAAACATGTACACAAATGAGTTCTAAATCTGCTTTGGAGTAATGCACACAAAGTGTGAAAAAAGTACAGAGAAATGTGTGAAATGATCCTTTTTGCAAAATAATAACAATTTCTCCCATATAAGTATGGGATATGGATATGGAAGATAAAAAGGAAATTAATTTAAAAAATATTCTGACCTAAAATGGGTGTGCATGCACACACACACACACACAATGTCTATGATACTATGAATTTTTATGATATGATTCTATTAAATATTGCATTCATGTATAAAAACACGCATGAAAGAATGATTCACAAATCATTACTTCAGGACTGAGAACTTTCAGGTAAATGTCTTTTTTTCTTACACAGATTAATTTTCCCCAATCCAAAAGTCTGTGTCCAAAATGCTCCCAAATCCAAGACTTCCTGAGTGCCAACATGATGCCTGGGCCATGTTCTGACGACGCACAATTTTCAGATTAGGGTGCTCAACTGGTCATATCTGTGCCAACATTCCAAATTCTGAAAACCTCTGAAATCTGCAATAATACTGGTCTCAAGCATTTCAGATAAAGTGTACTGAACTTATACTTCTATGTACTGTTTGAAAAAAATGTAACAAGCAATTATTTTTATAATAACAATGTAATTATTTAAAAACTAATGACACTGTACCTTCTTCCCAGCCCAGCACGCTGTACTTCCCTGCAGATGTCGAATGTCTTCATGGGTTCGTCCTCATGGGTTTCTCGCAGAAGGGGATAACTTAGACCCGAGGAAACTCAGCCTTGAGGTGCTGAATTCTTTCTGGGCACTCTGTCATCTCCTCCTTTCAGCTCCATTTCCTTCTCAGGACCCTGAGTGTTGGGTCTCAGGCCTTGGTGATGGCTTATTCAGTGTCCTGGCCCCAGCCCTCCACAGGACTGCTGTCCCTGGTGCCCGCAAGTCTCAGTGAGCAGGGCGCTAACAGGACTTTAAAGGTTAATCACTAACGTAGGTCAAATCACTTGCCAAAGGCAAAACAGTGACCATGCTACAGAGGTGTATTTGAATCCAGTTGGTCTGACTCCAGGACCAGTATATAACAGAGGCAGATGGTTAACAGGATTTTGAGGAGAAGCTCAACAGGAAACAAACAGGCAGCTAAACTTTTGGGTGGCTAAGAGGGGGAAGAAAGCAAACAGTTAATCAAGGGAACAAGCCCATGTCCTTCCTGAAGAGATCAGGAGGGACCCTGTACCAGCATAACTCCTCCTGCACGCCGCTCTGCTCTGTCTGTGGAGGGGCTCACTTTGCTGTACCTATGGAGTAGCCAGCTGTGTTTCTTTTCTATAATGAAGCTTTATTTCAGCCTTGAACCTGGTCCACATACGATTTCCATCTTATGTGTAGCGAAGAATCCACTCTACCCACTGAGATTTGGAGGAGCCCGACACACCTCACCCACTCCTCTTTCTCCCCAGCTCTATTCCTGAACTCATGACCCATGCTGTGTTGGGTAGGCAGGCCCCAGAAACCCTGCAGAAGTACCTTCTCCAAAAGCTCAGTAATCCTTTCCTTCTGACTTTCCTGAATCTCCTTTTCAGAGTGTTTTTCTCTCAAATTTCCAAACTCACCTTGTTTTTTACCTGCTGGAGCCCTGCCCTTTCTGACATATTTCCTCTTCTGAGAGGTGCTTATTCTTGGGGCAGGGCTGGGAGTTGGTTTCTGGAAAGACTCCAAAGCTATCTCCCAGCAGGGGAGAAGGAGAAAAATTCAAGCCACAGACCTAGGAGGAGTTCAGGGCAGGAGCCAGAAATAGCAGTGACACACGATACAAAAGCCAGGAGCAAAATCAGGAATGAAAGGTAAGCGCAGAAGGAGCAAGCGCGGGGCAGGCTAGAAGCCAGGGGTTACTCTCTGAAAGGTTGAGGTCCCAGCATTCATGCATTTGCAGGGTGCCACATACTCGGAATGCCATGAGCTAAGATTGGTGTGGATCAGAGAAATCAGGACAGAGTTTGAAGAGTTAGAACTCTAATTTGAAGCTGGTGAGTAGATAATTTGTGTTTTTTTTTTTTTAAAAGACCTATAAATAATTTATATAATATTATTATGTGAAAGGTGAGAAAGATCTTAGAGATATTTGCCTATACCCTGTCTCTTATAGTAGCCATTCACCATGTGTGGGTACTAAACATTTAGCTAGTAGAATAGAAATGAGCTAGAAGTGCTAACTATACAAGTTCGATTTTGACGATTTAGTTTGATTTTGATTTTTTTATTTTGACTTTTTGAGACAGAGTCTTGCTATGCAGTTCAGGCTGCCTTGAGCTCACTTTGTCGCCCAGGCTGGTCTTGAACTTGCAACGATCCTTCTGCCTCAGCCTCCCGAGTGCTGGGATTACAGGAGTGTACCACTTCACCCAGCCTGATGATTTAGTTTGAGAACAATAAGGTCAAATATTTTCTGAAGAATCTTTACTTGATGACACATTGCACTTTGAGGATATATCAAGTTAAATGCAATACATCTTTACATTTCTTGTAACCCCATTTTTGTTGTTGTTTCTTTAAAGTGACTCCTACAATTTTTATACTTCACATCTAGCTTGCACTGTATTTCTAATGGACACTGCTCTAGGCTAGGGGTTGACAAACATTTTCTATAACGGGGAAGATAGTAAGTATTTTAGGCTTTGTAAGTTGTGTGGTCTCTTTCCTCACTATCTGACTTTGTCATTGCAGTGCTCATGGGCTGTACCACAATAGGCAATAGGTCAAATTCGGTGGAGAGACTGTAATTGGCTGTGCCCTGCTTTAGACAAATTTCCTAATTTTAGCCTTGGGGCCATTGCTTCTTGAAGAGAAAGTGGATTATCCAAGGCCATGCCAAGGAATGCCAGAGTTTACTAGGTTTCCTGTCTGGAGTATTCACTTCCTTTTTCCATAAGTAGGCATGATAGTAGGTGTCTCCCTGTGGGTACAATCTTGCTGAAACAGAGTGTTAACATCCATTTAAAGATAGGCTCATGGTGGCAATCCTTTACAAACATCTGCGTTAATATTTGGTGATTCTCAATCTAAATCTAAGTAGAAGAGGTTCAGATACTTCTGTCCACAGCCTCGGTTTCTGCTGCTGCTCCCCTGGACCATGACATAGGTCTTGTGGCTACTGCTTACTAGACTTCTCTAATTCTGACAGGAAGACAAGCCCTTTGTGAGCCCTCAGCAAAGCTGTGACTTTAGGGAAGGTCCATTTGGATATGTCTGTTAAATACGGAATGGCCAGAAGGGTTAATTTAACCTTGAGTCCCTTGACAAGAATTACTTCTTCTTTACCTGTGGTTCCACCTCCTGGCCTCAGGTCATTTTGCTCACCAGCACTGAATGTGTCACTCTAGACACTTTACCTGGTCTTGCCTTGGTGATCACTCCTGAAGAGTGGGTGTGGGTCAGCACAAGGGCAGGTAGTGGCCACCCACTGTCCGGGAATGAGGACATCTGGTTCCTACAACCCTTCGTCTCTGCTGTGTCCCACTGTGGCACTGCATTTTGGCTTCACCGTAGGCCTGCTCTTGTACTCTTTCCTGATTGTTTTAATCCCTTGTCCCTGAGAAACTTACAGTCTAAGATGTGTTTCTATCTCTTTAAGAATATAACTCTTACTAATCTTAAATATATTATGGAATACTTAAAATATGAAGAAAGTTCACAGATGAATATAATGAAAACCCATGTACTGCCCATTGCATCTTCCACCCTCTGAGTAGGTTGCTTATCATTTGCATGAGTTTCATTTTTAATGCATATATACGTGTCTCTAACTATTCTACAGAATTTCAAAATTTTTCATACTTTGTCCCATAATGCATGTATTTTCCTTCTGGCTAATTCCTTTTTGTGGTATTTTTATTTTTGATTTTTGCTTAAAATTGTGTTTAAGAGATTTAGGATTATGATGCTGTGATTTGTTTTTATTGCTAACTAGCTTTTCACTGTGTTTATGCCACAGTGTACATGCCCATTGTCTTGTTTATGAATGTTAGTTTGTTTCCACTTGTGCTATACAGATAACACCACCTTGCATCTATTTTCTGCCCTTCTCGGTATCTAGGGAACGCAGTTTACAATGGGTTTCCTGGGTTCTACACTACCTAACTTTTTTGATTATTGTGTGATGCCAAATTGTTTTTCAAAGTGCTTATACCAATGTCTATCATATAAATATTCTTATTCTTCTATAGCTTCACTAATAGTGTCGTTAGATATAAAGTTTTAATGGTTGCCTATCTGGTGAGTGTGAAATGGTAGCATTTCAGATTGTGAATTTTTCTGATTTCTGGTGACATTGGTCTTTTTGGTTTCCTTAGTTTAACTGGATTTCTTTGTTGTTGTTGTTCTGTGAATTGCCTCTTCATATATTTTGCAAATTTTTCTTCGGGGCCTTGTGTCTTTTTCTGTAGGAAGACTTTTCTACATTCTGAAAAGTTATTCTCCGTTGGTTTTAGGGTTTGAAAATATCTTCTTTCAACTTTTGGTTGATCTTTTCCATTTTTCTTGGGGTCTTTTGACAAAAGTTTGCACCTTCACTGTGGGGAAAAACTCTGCTCGCACATGGCGTGGCATGGAAGTTGGGCACAGCGGGCAGAAGCAAGAGCTCAGGGATATACACGTGTCTGCAGCTACGCTCAGTGTTCGGCTCGGGAAGCCTGATGCAGACAAAACAGCTGCGTACAGTGGAGGAAAAGAAGGCAGCCTGTGTTTCCCGCTTAGTGGTTTTCTAGGCACTTAATGTACTACTTTGAATCCCATGGTAATATTTGCAAAAAGCCTCAGTGTAGAATAACTTAATTAAACACTACTTACAAGAGTTTAATATTCATTATTCGCCTTTGATTACTGTCTTTGTCCCCTCCCTTCTTCTCCCCCACTGGAGTGATCACTCCCCTCTCCTATTCCACGGATCTAATTAGCCTAATGGCTGCTGCTTGCCGTGACCTTCTGTCTGTTGAAAAACAAAAAAATTAAAGGCTGTCTTTGGTTTGTTTCCCCATGGTCTTTGCATGTGGCAGCTCCAGCTCCTGAATTCCATATTTCTCTTTTCTCAAACGCCCTATCCCACTTGTGCTGCGTAGTACAATTAATGATGTGCGCTTGAAAAGGCTTGGCAGCCGAATCTCAACAAACGCAAGAGGGCTGGGGCAATGGGGAGAGGGAGCTGGAGAAAAACTCTGAACCTTCCTGCAACGACTGACAGTGAAGACAGGCTCCAGGCTGGCAGGGAAAAGCTTTCAAAGGAGGGGAGCATGCACAAAGCAAAGCGCGTTCTTTCATATTCTTTCTTCCTCTGTCTTGGGGCTTCGTAGCATCCTTGGCTTCCCTCTAAGTGAGTTTCTACTGAAGCTTCCGTGAGACTTCTCCAGAGCCCCACCGGCAGTCTGTGTCTGCTGCCTGTGGTTCCCGCCCCATGCAGGGGACCATGTGCATGCCAAACTCCAGCCAGTCATGAGAGAAGCCAGGTGAGGGGTTTTGACTTTGTTCTGGCTCAGAACAAAGCACTTTTACTGAACCCCTTTTGGGTGCTATCTGCATGGTGGGGCATTTTGAGGATGCCCAGGCTGGGGAGACCAGAGAACCAGGAGCCAAAAAAGCATCTCAGGAACTGCACCATTAGTCAGCAGGAGACAGCAGCAAGAGAAGCTTTAAGCACTTTATCCAGGTGCGCTGGTATCCTTCAACCCAAGGGGCTGGTCCTGAGGGAGGCTGGGAAGGGAATGAGGAAATGAGGGAGAGTGAGAAGAAGAGGGGATATTGGAGGTGTGCTGCAAATTGGAAAAGAAGATCAAGTTCATCAAAGGGGTGATGGCCTTCTAGGCAGTGGGGAAGGGGAGGTGCCAGTGCCTGTTGTATGGGCAGGCAGTGCT